TCCTCTAACAGCTCTTTCTCAACATATTGCCATTAACGTGAGAGACACGAACATCAACTCACAAGGCATCTGCCAAGACTAAACTGCGCAACCAAGGTGGAATCCAGAAGCTAAACTAATTAAGCAAACACGAGCGCAGACTGTGGCTAAAAGCTCTTAAGGAGTTTGTGAACAAGTGCGATTTCAGCCTGACGGCTGAGCTAAAATGGGTTGTACAGTTTCTTTATAAAATAATGTATTTTCTTCGACACAGTAAGCTTGTTTGCATAATGGCAGATAGGCGCTCAACGAACAGTTACAGAACTCACTCGTCCTGTTGTCTTGGAGATCGCTCTCGGATAATAAGCCAGAAATGATCATTCCAGTCTCTCTTGTCTCTGTCGGTAATGTATTTCTGCCTATAACATGCTGGCCATTGAGCGGCTGCTGGTTAGGCTCGAGAGCGATCTCCAAGTTACAACGAGACGAGTCGGTTCTCTTCAGTAAGCACCTGTCTACCATTGTGTACATTCCCGATCGAAACCAGCAAGATAACGAGTCCATGGCACAACGGTTAGAGCGTCGGACTTCTAGCTAACAAGGTCGCGGGTTCAAACCTCGGGGATCGTCACCCCATGGAGTTGGGTATAGCTGGCTAATGAAAGCTAATAAGCCGGAAATAGCCATTCCGGTCTCTCCCGTCTTTATCGATAATACTATTCTGCTTATATCATTAACCGCTATGTGGCTGTTAGCGGGCCTAGAGAGTGAGCCCAAAGGCACAACGGGATGATTTTGTTTTGTAACCAAGTAGTGAGGGCCTATTCACCATTATATATATATGCAATGACAGATAGGTGCTCATCGATCGGTTACAGGACTCACTTGTCCATTTGTGCCTTCGGACTCACTCTCGAGCCCCGCTAGCAGCCGTACAGCGGATCATGATATGGACAGAATGGTATTAGCGATAAACACAAGGGAGACCGGAATGGCCATTTCCGGCGCGTTAGTAGTCATCGGCCAGCCACACCGCGACCTTTTTAGCTAGAAGTCGAGCGGTCTTACCACTGCGCCACGGCCTCGTTATCTTACCAGGTTCGATAGGGCTTATGACGGCTAATAAGCCAGACATGGCCATTCCCGTCTCCCTTCTGTTTGTTGGTATTACCATCCTGCACACATATATTTCGCCTGTTTGAGACACCTAGCCACCCACACGAAGTTTGTTTACTTCGGGAAGTCAATTGGATCAGTGTTCACACATTCCTGCCTCAATATATGCCAGTTCTGCAGTGACAGTAATGGCAGGTGGCGAGGCGCTGATGAACTGCGGTTCGATGAAGTGCTTTTGACGGCAGGTGGCGAGGCGCTGATGAACTGCGGTTCGATGAAGTGCTTATGACCCCAGTATTGGACCGCCTGTGCCATCTGTGTGTGCGTATGCTTGTGTTTCCGGTCCAGCTGGTGGTCAGAGTTATGCTTGACTAAATGAAGGCAAATAAGCCCGAAACAGTTTTATATCAATTTACCCCCAAATGCCATCACCCCTCTCTGCTATTATGACTTGGCCGGCATAGGCCTGGCAAGTGGTCGCCTCTTTGAGACACCTAACCACCCACGTGAAATCTGTTTACTTCGGGAAACCAAGCGGATCAGTGTTCGCACAGTGCTGCAGTGCGCACATTCCAGCAATAGTTTCAGCATTTCATAAATTCTGGACATGGATTTAAGTGTCCGGTATATAGCTTTTTGGGGTTAGCCAAGATGTCCAAAAGTTCAATGAAGCTAGTGTCGACTTCAGCAGTACAGTAACCTCTTCGAGAAAATCGATGAGAAAGGATTTTGATCCTCAAATGTTCAAAATGAGTCCGAGTAATACATTAACAGAAAGGGCACTCTGAGAAGACATTCTAAGAAGGCAATGATCTTAAGTCACACTGTATCAAAAGTAACGCATAAAAATGTCAAAACAAAATTCAGATGACAAACGGGAGCAACTTGCAACTAAGAAGGTTAAAAGATGGGAAGCACGGGGACCGAGAAGATTACATGCAATTCCTCCCTTAAGGCGGCAATTCTTTTGCGGAGCTCACTTCGTTCGCCTTCCAGCTCTTGGATTTTTACTTCAAGCGAACCAATTCGCCTTTCTCCTTCGTCGCGCGTCTTGGCAATCTAAGTTTTGACAAAAGCGGAAACATTACGTTGTTAAATAGGCTTCATATAGATAACGTAAACTTGACTTCCTCGTAAGGCCGCAATTTGTCAGTCAAACGAATCGTAACAAGGACAATCTATGACTTAATTGCGTTGCCATGCAGCAGTATTCATTTGAATCAAAATTAAAGACCTAGCAAAACCGCACACTTTCTGTGAATTGGTCTAGGGGTCTACAGAGAACCCACAACGCCAGAGATGTTTCCAAATGAAAAAAAAATGAACCATCTACTCCATCTACGGCCCAGCCCTGTCTAAACATAGCTACCAAGAGGCTGCCGCTGGCTTAAAGAAGCTTTGGATTCCGCTATTCGTGAATTTCAAGGCAAGTCTAATGCAGTGGACTCACCATGTGTCTTGTAATCAGAAAATTATTGCTACTCAATTGCTATACGCAGCATAACGGATTGAATGTAATATTTTAACTGTAGAGTTGCTAAAATGCTTGCTTGGTAAGGTAACAGAAGAAAGTAGCCCAAACTACACTTGGTTTGCCTTGCCTTGCAAGTCAAACTAAGGTAATATCAAATTTCGCAAAGCCAGCGGCGGCTCGCGTGTAACTTTGAGAGACCGGCGACTTGACCCCCGTCCTGGAGCAGAAGCTTTCCGGCTTCGCAGAACTGCAAATTATTCTGTAGTCCAAAATATCAAGAATACATTATTATTTACTATCTATAAGCAAACTGCAATAGGTTTAAACAAATTTACAAAGCGAATATCACCTCCTCCTCATGTTTCACGGCTTCAGTTTGGTGTTTCTGCAGGAGATTGTTGAAATCCATGCGAAGCTGCTTGGCCGCTGAACTGGCCTGGGAAAGATCAACAGACTTTGAAATTAGGAAGTCATAGGCCTGTGATTCCGCTACCTCAATACGGTAAACTAGGCCGTACTTCATCTGTGCGAGGCAACGACTGCAGTCATCAAGCTCTTCTTGAAGTGCATCCGCATGCTCTTCAGCCCTGCGTAAAATAAAAATACAGGAAAGAACGAATGTTTTAATCCTTAGTTTGGCGTATTTCCTCATAATTTGCAGTTTCAAAGCAGTTGCTTATTTTATACCTCCATTTGCATCAACAGGGTACTTTTCACTGCACCTTTCTTTGATGGTAAGTAGGTCCGCTGTACAACTGCGTCGGATGTGTTATAATCGTGGAGCGCTTATTCAATGATGAGTCGGCAATACTTCGGGGTTCACAAAATGGGTTCAGGATGTAAGCACCCACTAGTACCTAGCTGATTAATATTTGCTTGGAAGCACACTGTCCCGTAACACGAAAGTCAACGACGAGATTGCGCACCGGATCTCCAAAACCAGTCAGTGCTTCGGCCGGCCGCAAGCCTTCGTTTATGATCGCCACGGCCTTCAACTAAACAACAAACTGAAGATGCACCAGACCGTCGTCTCACCGACACTCCTGTACTGAGCGGAGAGCTAAACGGTTTACTCCAAGCAAGCCAGGAAGCTCAATCACTCTAATCTCAGCTTGACTTCGCAGAATATTGAAGTTGTAATGGCAGGACGCGATCCCAGATACAGAAGTCCTGGAACGTAACGGAATCAGCAACATTCATGCCAGACTGAGGCAAGCGCAATCGCGATAAAGTAGCCTCCTGATGAGAATGGAATACGAGTGCCTGCTCAAATTACTCTTCTATGGAGATGCCGCTACAGGTGCTCGTCAATGAGGACAACAACTACGCTACTAGGAAACCTTGAAGAACTCTATGAAACGACTGAAAATCGATCCGACCGGCCTGTAGAACTCTGAAGACATGCGCCACAATTTACTTAGCCAACCCGATCGCCGCTGGTAAGACCATAAGAACAGTTAGCAGGTCAAAAGCGCCTCGAACTAACACCATCAACGACCCAGCCCTCCAAAGATGCCCACACTGTCAACGCACCCTCCGTGTGCGAACTAACCTCGTCAGACTTCTTCGGGCGCAATGCAACACCACTCAGACAACATCAAGTTCGTCATCAACGAACACACTTACTTCCACTACTGCTTCAAACCCCGCGACGGCGACCATCCTCATAACTGATGATCACTTTACTAATGCCCCGCCGTCTTCGATCACCAGCACCATCTTCCTTGTCACAACTTCGCGTAGATAGCAACGGCGACCACCACCGGCACTACTTCCTTTACTCTCAATATCACTGAGAACACCCCCGATGACCCGTCACCTGCTACCTACACCACCAACACTCCTCCCACTAGCAATGGGGCCTCACTTATAACCTGCGTTCATTACGGTCGCATATGCACCTAACGCATCGACCTGGCCGGTCACTTGCGAATGGATCAGCGAGAGACTGGTAAACCAGTGCCTGGAGCATAAAAACACAGTAAAGACCGCTACTGTTCTCGCGTATTCAATCACTGTATATACCTACTCAGTCTTATGCGCATTCAGGAAGGCGGAATCCACTGTCATGCTGATAGCAAACAGGCCTAGCACTCCGTCAACGCTCCCCTCCCCAGCCCTCCCATGAGCGCACCCACCTGTACTAGTAGCACAACCTCGCTGACTCAGCCCCCTCGCACATATTCTGCCCTCACCGTCACCACACATCACATATCGGCTTCGTTGGTCACTTGCGAATCCGTCGCACAGAGACCGGAAATCAATGCCAGGAACACCAACATACACCTTTAGCATCCATCTCAACTGTTCGCACTGTCCATTCCCGTCCACATACTGCATAGGACCACATTCGTCCCATAGAAACCTGTTGTGCAATACGGCCGGCTACATCACATTACCACATGTCTCCCAACGAGCATCTTCATCACACATGGCCACGTTTAACAGCACACAACACGCGTTTGCAACCAGCGCCTCTCACTTAAGAGGGAAGTATGATCCTCGACTCCTTCTATGTTTGAATCCTCTACTACATATGTATTCCGAACCTGAGACTATTACAATAAGCTTAGCGTCATGGCCTGGAAGGTCGCCAACACGAAATTTTACTCAGAGCTCGCAGTCAGCCCAATGTGTGTTGGCGTGGAGCGGCTGACTACTGGACTGGGAAGTAGGCTGTAATGGCTCCTTCCTAATATGGCTCTTATGGCCCTCAAGTTGATGCATGCAGAAGACATCATCGGATTCGAAGGTCTAACTGTTATTTACCTGTTTATGTATCACTTAAATGATGGGTCAACTGGAAAAAGGGTTTAAGATCGCGAAGCCCCTTAAGAATAGAGGGACAGTAAGGCATATCTTTATAGCACAGACTCTGTTTGTCGTACGGCAATACTGTATTCGATTATAGATCTCGTGTGTAGTAAATCAAATATCGGTTTGTGGGGATAAGAAGCAGCATTCTGGCCGTATTTGCTACTCTACATGTGCTGCATATCCTCCCCACCCAACACAGATGAATGACTTCATAAAACGGTATGATAATGTTTATCCTTGAAATTTCCATGCCGACGGCACCTTCAAGTGCAGAAAACATGGACTAAAGCCACCGGCAGATTTCGGGTAATATTAAGTTCACTAAGCAACTTCATCCGACAGGAAAAGTCGATATAACTAAAAGATTCACAGAATGTTACAGATTACGAGCCAAGCTTACCTGATTCAACTATAAAGACAATCAGATTTGGAACATAACGAGGACTTCCAATATGCATAACATACCACATGGTATAAACACGTACAAAACACAAGGTAGAACGGACAAAAATTTAAGATTTCCCGTTGTTCTAAGATGGGACAGTTTAAACCCTTTTTCGACATGGTGTTGTCATCAGTCAAAGAAGCAGTCGTTTTCAGTGCAGGAGGTCTTGTCATTGACAACATAATATCTCGCGACTACGATAGTCAAAGTAATTCCTATTAGAAAGCCCGCAGACTATAAAGCCGGACTACCATATATAGGAATGCCACCAATAGCTTTTTGCCTCTATCCACTAAGACGGAATAAAGTGTTAAGGTTTTGACCGAGAAGTCTCAGTGGCATCTCA